CTAACGCATTACAATTATACGTCATATATTGTTTTAAAGAGTTAATGCACTTTCTAGAATTTAGGTTGGAATAGTGCAATGACCATACTATCATGCTTATCATGTCTTATGTTACAAATGCATATTTGTAACAGTATGAGTCAAAATATTTATTTTAAGTAATATGATCAAAGTCAAAGCGTCAAACCGGCAAAAGTGCATATTATAATTTATGACACATTTGTCTGAATGAACAGTGGCTTGTCATATATGATATTAATGTAGGTCATGAGCACTACACTAGTTATATATGATAAATGCTTTTTCCAAGAGTTTTATCTAGAATTACTCCTAGATATTTCATCTCCTCAGATAGTATTAAGTCAGTCTTCCCTAGTTTTAGGGTTCCTAGACTTCCTTCTTCTGATGAAGGGTACCTCGTTTGTTTTATTCGGATAAGTCAAGAGTCCTTTATCTTGACACTAATCTTGAGTGATGTGAAGAGCTAGTTGCATCCGATCAGTTATGGTGGAATCAAATTTACCTCAAACCGTGATCGTCTGCAAAGTCCTGAACTTCGTAACTGAGGTCATTAAAAGTCTGTAAGAGCCTGTCAATGACCAATAGCCATTTGTGCGGCCATAGAACGCCTTCTTGAGGGCATTCTTTCTGTTTGATCAAATGTATGATCAAATGTTGGAATCAATCAACTGTTCGCAAGTACTGAACACTTCAATCCAGTACATATGTTGATTCTATCAAATAAAAAACCATTGAATACTTGAATCCAGTGACTTCGACGATTGTATTCAAAAATCCTAAATACTGAACACTTAAATCTAGTGATTAGGCGCACATGTGGTGTAAATTTGGTACTTGAACCAAATCTATCAATCTAATAAACCAGAAAAGAGAATCAATGCTGAATGTGGCTTCGCATCAATTGAATTATCAGAAATTCAATTGTGCCTTTAATTGAAAAATTAATAATCAATTTACAAGGTGAGATGAAAAAACTGCAACAAAGTAAAACGCCATAATTTTTTCATTTTTTTTAAATTTTATTGAATGAAAGCAAAAAATGTCGGAAATAACATCAAATTTGAGAATCGGTTTAGATTTGTTCGAATTGGCCACCTTTGGCACGAACTATGGCCTTCAAACGGCCAATGAAACCATCACACGCTGCCGAAAGTGGCTCTGCGGTATTTTGTCCCATTCTCGGCGAAGCGCTTGCTTGAGATGATCGACACTTTGGTATTTTTTAGTTCCAACCTTGCTTTCCAAAATACCCCAGGCACAATAGTCCAACGGATTGGCATCCGGAGATTTTGGTGGCCATTGTGCGGTGGAAATGAAGCGAGGAACCTCATTTCTTAACCATTCTTGGATGGCGCGTGCTGAGTGCGATGGTGCTGAGTCCTGTTGGAATGTCCAAGGTCTGCGGCCGAAATGTTTGCGTGCCCAGGGCTTCAGAACTCCCTCCAAAATATTTTCGCGATAGATTTGCGCATTTAATTTGACACCACGGTCGATGAATACGAGCGGCGAGCGACCATCGGCTGTTATGGCGGCCCACACCATCACCATGGCCGGCTTTTGAGTTGTGATGGCCAACCGAAGTTGCAAATTTTCAGCTGACCTCTCTGGCAAGTAAACACGATCATTTTGTTTGTTTACAAACTGCTGGATAACGAATGGTTTCTCATCGGAGAAAACCAAATTCGGCAGTTCACCACTTTCGGCCAAGCGAAACAACTCTTTAGCTTTTTCGAGTCTAACTTTTTTTTGCGCATCAGTAAGATCTTGCACTTTTTGGAACTTGAATGGCTTTAGTCCAAGCTCATTTTTCAATATTTGCCGAATGGCATATTGCGATATGTTCAGCTCACGAGCCATTTTTCGTCCACTGCGACGCGGATTTCGTTCAATTCGCTTTTTCACTTTTCGAACCATTTCTGCCGATGTTGCTGTTTTTTTTCGTCCACTTCCTTGACGTCGGGCTACGCTACCAGTATCATGGTAACGAGCGATGGTACGAGACACAAAACATTTATTCACTTCTAAATGCTGGAGGGCTCTAACGATAGCCACTTGTGGTTTTCCAGCCAAATGCAAAGCAATCACACTATCACGCTTGAATTCCATCACAAATAACTTTTTTTTTGAAAAATTCCCACCAAAATGCTTTTGTGCGCTTGTAAACAATATAATGAGCTGTCACTAGAATAAATCTGACAGCTGTGGGACGAGCGGTTTAGAAATGACAGCAGTCTGAAGTTGGTTGCAGTTTTTTCATCTCACCTTGTACAACAACTAAATTAACTTAAATAACCTTGAACATGAATGCCAAACAATGAACTTGTTACAAACTGCAAATGTACATTTTCTTGCAGATGAAATTTGACGCTTTTGGTTTCATGTGCAAACAAAAGCCTGTGATATGTTTTGGGCTTTGCATTGGCAAAATTGTTTTTTACTACAAAATATGTTTCAAACACAATTATTACTATACAAAATAATATCAACAAATTATTCATACAAAATAATACAAACAAATTATTCAAACAAAATAATATAAAATTTAACACTTTCGTGAGTTAAAAGACAACACATGAAGTTGAGGTTCAGTTATTTTATTTAAATTCAGTTTAATTTCTAAACCCTAGATGCTGTCGCTGCTTCGCTATGTTAGTTGTTGTTGCTTACGTTCCGGTACTTCTGCTGTCGACCCCGTTGCTGCTGATGTTGTTGCTTGAAGCTTAGTGGTTGTTGTTGCTACTGCTGTTGCAGTCTCAGTCGTAGCTGCAGAAAAATGTACGTTCGAAACTGTTGTTATCTACTGAAGTTGTAACCGAAGTTGTTGCGTGTAATAATTGTTGCTCTTGATGACGCACTCGTACTGTTGGTATTGTGGTTGATGTTGTTGTTGATGTAGTTGGAGCTCTGATTATTATTGTTGCTCAGGATGTTTGTTTTATATTGGCTGGTCGATAAATTTAGTTATATTTGTCTTAACCTCGCTGATAGTAAAATCTCGTTCAATTTTATTGTATTGATTTGTTTGTTTAACCACACTCGCTGGAGCTTATACTAAACTCGTGCACATTTTAGTGTCAGTTTAGGAGTTAAGATTATCACTTGAATTGTTACTTTTGTTAACCGCACTCGCAGGAGCTTTTACTGAACTTTTGCACAATTAAGTTTCGTTTTGGAGTTAAGATCAACACTTGATTTGTTACTTTTTGTTAACCGCACTCGCAGGAGTTTTTACTAAACTCGTGCACAATTAAGTTTTTGTTTTGGAGTTAAGATCATCACTTGATTTGTTACTTTTGTTAACCGCACTCGCAGGAGCTTTTACTGAACTTTTGCACAATTAAGTTTCGTTTTGGAGTTAAGATCAACACTTGATTTGTTACTTTTTGTTAACCGCACTCGCAGGAGTTTTTACTAAACTCGTGCACAATTAAGTTTTTGTTTTGGAGTTAAGATCATCACTTGATTTGTTACTTTTGTTAACCGCACTCGCAGGAGCTTTTACTGAACTTTTGCACAATTAAGTTTCGTTTTGGAGTTAAGATCAACACTTCATGATCAACCGCTCGAGTTTTAACAGCAACTGCCCGTCAAAAGTTTCTGTACTTTTGCGTTAGCTTCAAAAGTAGCGTGTTTGCTGGTCACGTTTTGTAGTGTCAGCACATTCCACGCTCGCGTTGTGGGGCTATTGCCTTCTGCATAGTCCCATGCTACCGCATCGTAACATGGGACTTACTGCAAGGCTATTCTTATATTTTTATTCATTGACGGTCAAACCGTTTAACACACACCCTATTGTGTATGTACCCACAACACTGTGAAGATTTTACGAGCCAGTGAAAGAGCCTGTGAATCACTCATCACTTCCTGACACGCATGCTCGCATTAATGCACTCAATTTGTCCCAAAATTCCAGAAGCTGAGCCTGAAAAGTAGCCAATATAGATTAGGGACTTTGGCACTTCTGCCATGTCCACTACATTTGGGCGCTTTCCCACGGCTTCAACGTTGAGATCGTCTCCTTAGACCAGGTTACAGTTTCGTTGTCCAAATAGTTAATGGTACACCATCTGGGCTTTAGACTATAACCGGCAAAATGAGACTTCACCTCAGGAACCCGACAAGTTTCGTACGTCTTGTCAAGAATGCATGTTTGCACCTTACCAATTTCTTCAATGGACCAAATGCCCTCTGGGAAATTGTGCGATAGTATACCGATCATCTTAGACCGAACAATTTCTGCCAGACTTAGCTTTGAACTAAGGGCTTCAGAAGCCGGCTTTAGTGCTTTGGTTAGTTTCACTAATAAAAAAGTGACAAAAAACCTGGAACTTCAGCATTGAAAGTTTATGTAGCATTGGCTATTTGTGGAAAAAAACTGGTCAAGCTCTAGAGACAGTACAGACATTTCCTATTTCGAATGAAAACTATCCAAAGGCTCTGGATAAGCTTAAATCGCGCTATGACAATAATAGCCTAATATTCGCCGAAAATATCGCGACACTATTTGATCTACCAGCAGTATCGGGTCAGTCAAGCCAACAACTCCGTAGTCTGATAAACAATGCATCCGCTTTGTATGGTTCACTCTGTTCGCTAGGTACAGAGAAACAAATATGTGAGGCTCTACTTACCTCGTCATGCAAGAAACGGACGCAATTACATGTACGAAATGGAATGATTTGCTTAACTTCGACACATTACCCAGTTGGAAGGATTGCTCAAAATTGTTGGATAGGCATTGCCAGTTTCTCGAATCACTCGACAGTGGAAACGGCAATCAATCATCACCACAACGTTAACCTAATAATCTTAACTCCAAGACTAACAGACGCTCAAAACAATACGTATTTGTCGCATCTACATCCAGCAGTTCTTGCTCATTTTGTTCTAGCAATGAACACCTAAAACAGAATTGTCATCATTTTAAGGCACTGGAGGTGGTTGAAAGGTTTGCATAAACTGCTTATCGCCACGCCATCATGTGGTTAATTGCACATCAACATTTAAATGTAAGGTTTGCGCAAAACCACATCACACTCTCTTGCATCATTCGCAATTACCAATTACCAACGAATATTAAGAGCGCGGGATCATCACGACGCACAGAACACGCCGCTATTCCCAACGACAACGTTGGCAGCCATTCCCATCTTAACATGTCATCGACCGAGCAAATAATTCTAGCCACTGCATTGGTTTTAGTGAAGGACTCATCGGGAAGTTATCAAGTGGGTAGAGCCTTACTTGATTCATGCTCTCAGGTCAACTTCATAACGGAGGAGTTTTCAAAGAAGCTTAGTGTATCAAAACATAAACATCGCCTGCATGTTTCCAGTATTTGTAGTTCGTTGGCCAATGTAAAGTATCAGACGCTCACATCCATCAAATCTCGTCATTCAAATCTTGAACTTGCTTTAAACTTTGGTATTACGAATCACATCGCATATCAGCCAAGTTCTGAAATCAATATATCGTCGTGGAAAGTTCCACCAAATACACCTCTCGCCGATGAACAATTCTTTAAATCCAAGCGCGTTGACCTTTTGCTTGGAGCTGAAAGTTTCTTTGACATTTTGTCTGTCGGTCAAATCAAACTATATGAAAATCTTCCAGTACTACAAAAAACACTATTAGGATGGATCGTATCTGGCAAGTGCAAGGGTCAGCCATTTGCATCACCAGCAGCAAAATGCCTATTATCATTTGAAGATACAGTTTCCGATCAATTAGAAATGATGTGGAATATAGAGGAAGTGCAACCGGCTTCAAAGTCATGGTCACCAGCACATGTTGCGTGTGAGTCATTATATCGTGAAACGGTCCACCAAAATGCGATGGTTCGGTTACCATTCAAAGATTCACTAGATTGTCTTGGCTTGACACACAATATCGCCTTACACCATTTTTGTTCTGTAGAACGGCGCTTGTCATCTAATCGTGCACTGAAGCAAGACTATCAAGAATTCATGAAACAATATCGAGAGCTCGGACACATGTCGCGTGTTGAGACTCCGAAAACCAACGAATCACATTATTATATCCCTCATCATTGTGTTTTAAAACAGTCGAGCACATCGTCCAAGCTGAGGGTGGTTTTTGATGCGTCATGTCCAACAACATCGCAACGTTCATTAAATGATATTCTACTGGTCGGCCCGACCATTCAGTCGGAGTTATACTTGTTGCTACTTCAATTTCGTTTGCACCGATATGCCTTGACGGCTGACATTGTCAAGATGTACCGACAGATACTGATAGATAAACCAGATCGATAATTCCAATACATTTTTTGGCGAGATACGGAGTCCGAACCTGTTAGTACTTACGAGTTGAATACAGTCATTTATGGTACTGCATCAGCACCTTTCCTAGCAACCAGGAGTTTGCAGTATTTGGCGGATAAATTTGAAACACAATACCCAATAGGCGCTGCACTCATTAAATCATCATTCTTTGTCGACGATTTCTTAGGTGGAGCGGATTCCATTGATCAACTCATCAATATCAGACATCAGGTAACGGCCATTCTACAGAAGAGTTGCTCCGATCTTGACAAATGGCATTCAAACCATCACGACTTCATCAGCAATACTACAACAAAGAGTTTGAATCTTGATACAGATACAGTCACCAGCGCTCTAGGCATCAAGTGGCACCAAATGCAAGATGTTTTCCTATTTTCGTTCAATGCGCAACCAGGTCATATTGTAACAAAACGCACCATCTTATCCCTTGCGTCTTCATTATTCAACCCGATTGGATTACTAGCACCGATCATACTCGTAGCAAAAATTATGATGCAAGAATTATGGCTTTTGCATGTGGACTGAGACGAGTCAGTCCCTCGAAATCTTCACTCAGCTTGCAAAACATTTATTCAAGATCTTACAACGCTTTCATCGGTTAAGGTGCCGAGATACTGCCTAACAATAAACTATCAACAGGTTGATGTACACGGTTTCTGTGACACTTTAATACGCGCATACGGTTGCTGCATATTTCTCCGATCACAAAACACATCAGGTAAGATGACGGTCAGGCTATTCACTGCAAAATCCCGTGTGGCACCTTGTTGTGTATGAATTTTATACACTAGTAACATTATTTATGAAGTTTGACAGTTGTCATTTTAACTGAGTAGTGTTTGTTAATAGTTTATTATTATGAAGTAGAAATGTAAAAATTTTATTCTTTTCTGTAACTTGAATGAATAAAGTTGAAATACAAAAGTGGTGTCAGAAGTGGGATTCAAAAAAATGAGTCTCACAGCAAGCGAAATGAAGATCACTCGCAGGTGCGATTCGAATGGCGGTGACGGAAGCGGTTGCTGTTAACAATTTAACAAATTCAAACGCAAGTTCGATGACGTCTAAACCACCACCATTTAAGATTGCAGAATTTAAATTAGGAGAAGGATCCTCAGTGCAGGATTATTTCACGCGTGTGGACTGGGCGTTAAATTTGAGCAAGATACCAGAAGCCGAACAAGGAGAGTATGTACGTGTATACATGGGAACAGAACTAAACGATGCTCTTAAAATTCTCGCTAGTCCAATTGCACCTGATATGTTTACATACAACGAAATTAAAAATATGTTAATTCATCATTTTGATGGTACACGGAATAAGTACGCTGAAAGCATCAGGTTCCGACAAATTAAACAAGAGAAGGGAGAATCAATTTCTAAGTTTGTGCTTCGCTTAAAAGAAGGTGCTAGATTCTGTGAGTATGAAGATTTCTTGGATAGAATGTTAGTGGAGCAATTGCTATATGGGGTTGAATCTCGCAATATTTGTGATGAAATAGTAATTAGGAAACCAAAAAATTTTACTGAAGCGTATAAAATTGCGCATACAATAGAGCGAGCGCAAAAAATAACAACAGACGTCAAGGGTACAGAGTTAGGGCAACCAAGTGAACCAACATATAAGCTAGGTTGCGCCCCAATAAAAACAAAACGTAATTTTAGTGAAAATCATGAAAAAGCGATGCGGATGACAAAAGAGAAAACAGTGAATTGTTATGAATGTGGTGGTCAGCATTTCAGAAGAGAGTGCAAGTTCAGTAAGTCTAAATGCTTTGCGTGTGGGAAAGTCGGTCATATTGCTAAAGTATGCAGAACGAAATTAGATCAAATAGCAGAGGATGATCCCGAACCAGTTCAACAAATACTTAGTATTAATGCACTCAAGGCGGCGGTAGGAAGAATGATGGTTCCTGTTAAAATTGATGGAAAGGAAATTCAAATGGAATTAGACACCGGCGCTCCATGCGCGGTAATTAGTTATAGAACTCTACGATCAATAAGACCGAATTTTAAGTTGCTTAAAAGTGATAGGCGATTCACAAGCTACACGGGTCATAAGGTTAATTGCGTAGGACGGATTGTAGTATCCGCGTCAATGAGTACAATAGTACGACGGTTAAGTCTGTATGTCGTGGAAGGAGATTGTGATACACTTTGCGGCAGGGAATGGATATTACAATTTGCGAGAGAGATTAACTTTTCTGAATTTTTTTTCTTCGTCCAACCATATTAATTCAATAAACTCCTTAGAGCGAGAACTGTTTACAAACCAGCGAGAGCGGCTCCAACAACTGATCGAGAGGTTTAAGAACGTATTTAATGAAACGGCTGGGAAGCTTAGTGGTCCACCTGCTAAAGTGCATCTTAAAAAGGGAGCTACTCCAGTGTTCGCACGACCACGCGAAGTTCCAATGGCATTAAAAGATGCTTACGGCAAAGAAATTGATCGAAACATTCAATTGGGGTATTACAAGAGAGTAGATCATTCGGAATGGGCTTCAACTACGCATATAGTTGCAAAGAAAAACGGTGGTATTCGCATTACAGGCAATTACAAACCTACAGTTAACCCACGAATGATAATTGATGAACATCCAATTCCGAAAGCGGAAGATTTATTTAATAAAATGAAAAATGCAACAATTTTTTGTCATCTTGATGTAACAGATGCATACACCCATCTTACAATTGACGAAGAATTTGCACATGTATTAACTCTAAACACAATCACGCATGGGTTAGTACGTCCAACACGTGCAGTTTATGGAGCAGCAAATATACTAGCGATATGGCAGAGGAGAATGGAGACAGTACTACATGGTATGACGAATGTGTTAAATTTTTTCGACGATATCTTAGTATATGCTAAAAATTTTGATGAATTGTTACAAGTGTTAGAAACCATTCTAGGCCGTATTCAGTTAAGTGGGCTGCGTCTGAATAAGTCGAAGTGTGTATTCGCCACAACATCTGTGGAGTTTCTTGGTCATCGAATTGATGCACATGGCATGCATAAGTCCCAGAAACATGTCGAAGCAATATTGAATGCGCCCAAACCATCAACGGTTGAAGAGCTTCAACTTTTCTTAGGGAAAGCAACATACTATGGCGCGTTCATTCCGGATTTGGCTACAAAGGCGCGACCATTACGGGACATGTTGAAAACAAAAGAATTTTGCTGGACGGGAGAGGCAGATGCAGCATTTACTCAGTTAAAACAAATATTGACTTCACCTCAAGTATTAATTCCGTACGATCCGTCACTACCGGTAATGTTAGCAACAGACGCAAGTCGAACGGGTCTAGGTGCTGTATTGTCACATCGTTTAGAAAATGGAGTGGATCGGCCAATAGCTTATGCAAGTCGAACGATGACTGCTACGGAACAACGATATACACAAATTGATAAAGAGGCGCTAGCTATTGTGTGGGCAGTGCAAAAATTTTTCAAATATTTATATGCTCGTCATTGGATATTGATCACGGATCATAAGCCGTTATCACAGATTCTTCAACCTAATAAATCGCTTCCAGTACTATGTATAAGTAGAATGGCTAACTATGCAGAGTTTTTAAGCAGATTCGATTTCGAAGTTATATACAAAAATTTAAAAGCAAACGCAAATGCCGATTATTTGTCACGTGCTTCCCTTCAACAAATAAATCAATTGCAACAAATAGTAGCGACTCATTCAGATGAACGTGATGAGTTCGATAATTTCATGATTTGCCAGATAAATCAGTTGCCTGTTAAAGCAGAACGTATTGCAATAGAAACCAGAAAGGACGAGCATCTCGGCAAGATAATCAGAATTCTGGAAAGTGGCCGCTGTTTAAAAAGAGAAGGTTACAAATCGCCAGAAGCGAGTTACGTGTTGTCATCAGGGTGCTTGACGTTCGAACATCGGGTCGTTATCCCTCCACATTATCGACAAAGATTACTAGAGAATCTACACACACCGCACTTAGGAATGGTAAAAATGAAGCGCATTGCTCGTTCTTTTATATATGTATTGGCCAGGAATAGACAAAGATATTGAGAATATGGCCAACGAGTGTGATGGGTGCGCGAGACAAGCGAATAAGCCGGTGAAATGCGATAGTCATCATTGGGAATACCCAAAAGGACCATGGGAACGTATTCATATTGATTATGCAGGGCCATTTGAAGGGGCAATGTTACTAGTAATTGTTGATGCTTACAGTAAGTGGTTAGAAGTTAAAATCACAAAATCTACTACGGCTGCAGATACAATTTCGCTTTTGGACGATGTATTTGCTGTTCTTGGAGTTCCGCTTATGGTGGTTTCTGACAATGGAACGAATTTTACTTCTGTAGAATTTAACGATTTCCTCACAACAGTTGGTGTTAAATACCATAAATATTCAGCTCCGTATCATCCAGCTACTAACGGTCAGGCGGAGCGTAGCGTACAAACAATAAAAAATGCGCTAAAAGCAATGGGCACAACAAGCAAGAACTTAAAGAAAAATTTGAACGAGTTCCTAAGGTAATACAAAAATGCCCCACATTCAACTACAGGGTTTTCGCCAGCTCAGTTGTTTTTGGGACGACATCTGCGAACACGCTTAGATCACATTCGCCCAGAGGAAATTGCAAAGAAGGTGAAAGATAAGCAATATTTGCAGTGTCAATCTAGTAATAGGTGTAGGGAATTCGCACCAGGCCAAAGCGTATACTTCTTATCGGGCAATTCGCGAATGCATAAATGGCTCAGAGGAACAATTAATACACGTTTAGGTGATCTTCACTACGAAATACTTTTTAATGGAAAGGAAGTAAAGAGACATGTAAATCAAATTCGAAGAGCTGCAAGTGCACCCATTAGAAATACAGCGAAAGAATATCGTGAATCAAAATATTTGTTCGAGAGTAGCGGTGACAAGACAAAAGACTCGCTTGAAGCAGAGAACAATGAAACAACCACTGAAGGGAGTCCGGGATTGGAGAATGAGTTTGAGAAGCCAGAAAACAATGAAGCAACCACTGAAGGGAGTCCGGGATTGGAGAATGAGTTTGAGAGGTGGACAACGCCCAACACATCAAGAAATGAGGAGTTTTATTCAACACCACACCCAATATCTGAGAGTACGCCTGAGACGACCAACGTAACTCCCGATGTACGATGGTCGACAAGACTAAGGAAAACTAGAGTGTGTTACACACCATGATCCGGTGGAGGAGAGAAAAATGTTGTGTATGAATTTTATACACTAGTAACATTATTTATGAAGTTTGACAGTTGTCATTTTAACTGAGTAGTGTTTGTTAATAGTTTATTATTATGAAGTAGAAATGTAATGAATAAAGTTGAAATACAAAACAGCGAAAGTCGCTACCTAAACTAGAACTCTGTGGTGCCTTACTTTTTGCTAAACTGTATCAGAAGGTTCAACCAATATTTGCGCATTTTAAGGGTGAAACGTTTTTTTGGACTGATTCACAGATTGTATTACATTGGTTGAAGCAGCACTCATCAACCCTGTCTGCATTCGTTGGCAATCGAGTAGCGGAAATTCAAGATATTACCGCAAATGGGCAATGGAGACACGTTCCTACCCAATCCAATCCGGCAGATGTTGTGTCGCGCGGCTGTGACATCCGCCAATTAACAGAGTCTTGTTGGTTTACGGGGCCGGAGTTTTTGTTACTCGCTGATAAATACTGGCCGCATTTGGAATGTCACAATCTGGATATGGAAGAAGTCAATAAAGAGACGCGAAAGGTTGTATTCGTTAACACAAATGAAGACAACTACGTAGTACAGGTATTGTCAAGATGTTCATACACCAAGATGATACGAGTAATTCTTGGTCATCCAACAGCAGTTCTTCGAAATTGATATACAACGCTGGTTGATGAGCCGAATCGTGCATTGCACCAGGGGTCCAGATAACTTGGTTCGTGTTGTTGATTTGCAAACCCCAAAGGAAGTAATACGCCGTCCAATCCACAAACTCGCACTATTACCAATTGAAAATCCTTTCAAGGGGGGCGGGATGTTAAAGCGGTTAAAGTCAAATTGTTAATATTGTAGGATTCTGTAAGAAAATTATAATTAATGTGTTGTATGATTTATATATTATATTTTATTACATATTAATCTATTGTAATTAATATATTGTATACTTAAATTATTAATTAATATATTATATAATTCATATATTATATTTTATATGGTTAATTAATTTATCTAACTAACCCTGTATAAGATGTAATCAAACCAACGGTTCTAATTCTTGTTTTTATTGCCTTTTGTTTTTTGCGCTTGAGATAAGCATTTTTTTGTTATATTTTTTAGCTGCAAGTAAACTCCGTTGGTTTGATTCTGTCTCTTGGTTTTCGAACGCGAAAGTGTCAGCACACGGGTACACACAAAAAAGTGATTAAACAATCAATTACCGAAATTGTATAAATTAAATAAATTCAAAAGTTCAAAAAAATAATTATAAAAACACTTATAATTAAACAATTTACAAAGAATTAAATTTTTAAAAAAATTCTTACCTGCATTTTACCTACATCTTACCTACATTTTGTTTCATGTGTCAAATATGTTAAATTTCGATAATTTCCAATGCTGCATTCGAGATATTTGATATAATTTTGGTCGAAGTTTGTTTACTATATTTTATAGTAAATGAAAAAGCACGGATGCTCTTTTTGTATGGTTAATGCAATTTACTTAGTAAATGAAGCTTACTAAGTACGTAGTGGAAACGTACTATAACTGAGCCTTTAAGCTCGAAGTAGTTGAAGTTTTCGTTCTTTGAAAGGTATTCTTTGGTATATATGGTATTTTGTGACGTTCACAATAAAGTTTCCATTATGAATGAGATATTCTTGCGTTCTAATGAATTCTCTGCTAAAATCATGCCAAAATTCATCAGGTGTAAACGTCGAATTAGTCTACGATTGCTAAAGTGAGCCCGCATTATTTTTTTTTTGTTAGTTATTCTGTAAAACAATTCTAAATAAAATTTAATTTTTAAATGTGACGAAAAAACTAGAGATTTTTGAGAAAAAGTAATATTTAGAACAGAGAAAATAAGTTTTTAAATTGAATAAATTTCTTTGTATAGAAATGTAATAACACTTGCGAAAAGTTCGTTGAAATAGAGACACTGAATTTATGCTAATTGATAGTTTATGTATGTGTCATTATTTATTTATTATTTTACATTAGAGCTATTCTCAACATCGTCATATATAACTGAGTATCATGGTTATGATTTTTGTTTTTTGGTTTATTAAGTACTAAACTTAACTAGAACTTCAAATAAATTCCTTGAAATTAATATAAATAAGAGTAGCTACATTTACGGATATATATATATATTTCTAACATTTGCACATATATATTGGTTTGACGTTGTAAATTGCTTTATATAATTTAAACATTTAAACAACTTTTTTATATATTAAACATAGACAACTTTTTTTACTGTGTACCGAACGTAAACAAAGCAGCTGTAAGTTTGTACTTTTCGCTTTTAATTTGGCGGGTTTGTAAAAGTTATTGGAATAATCAACGAAATACATTCTGTGTGCCGTATAGATATATAAATTAATATGACTTCAATAATAAAACTGCACACAATATCAGGAGCAATGGATGAATCTCCGCCTTGCTACATTTTACAAATTGATGAAGTCCGTATATTGTTGGACTGTGGTTGGGATGAAAAATTTGACTCTAATTTTATTAAAGAAATTAAAAGGTAATTGTTTTTATTATAATATAAATAAATAATGAGCAATAAGTTATAATTATTTGTAGACATGTGCATACTATAGATGCAGTTCTACTTTCTCATCCTGATGCATATCACCTGGGCGCTTTGCCGTATCTTGTGGGTAAATTGGGACTTAATTGTCCCATATATGCAACCATTCCTGTATATAAAATGGGCCAAATGTTTATGTATGATTTATATATGTCGCACTATAATATGTGTGACTTTGATTTATTTTCGTTAGATGACGTAGATGCTGCATTTGATAAAATAATTCAATTAAAATATAATCAAACTATTTCACTCAAAGGTTTTTGATTACTTTACATATTTTTTAATAGTTCCTTGCTTATTTGAATTTTTTTAAGGTAAGGGTTATGGCATTGCGATTACACCTCTACCTGCAGGTCATATGATAGGCAGTACGATTTGGAAAATTCTTAAAGTGGGAGAAGAAGACATAATATATGCAACAGACTTCAATCACAAAAAAGAACGACATCTAAATGGATGTGAACTTGAACGGTTGCATCGTCCTTCACTTTTAATTACAGACGCTTTTAATGCTCAGTACCAACAAGCAAGGCGACGCGCACGAGATGAAAAACTTATAACCAATATAGCACAAACCGTCCGAAATAATGGCAATGTATTAATTTCCGTTGACACTGCAGGCAGAGTTTTAGAACTTGCCCACATGTTGGAAACTGTTTGGAGAAATAGGGAAACTGGTTTAATGGCGTATACATTAGCTCTTTTGAATAATGTAAGCTATAATGTTATAGAGTTTGCGAAATCTCAGATTGAGTGGATGAGTGATAAACTAATGAAGTCGTTTGAAGGAGCACGAAACAATCCATTTCAATTTAAGTTTATTCAGCTGTGTCACACATATGCTGACCTCTCTAAACTACCAAGTCCCAAAGTGGTATTAGCAAGTACGCCTGATATGGAAAGCGGATTTTCTCGAGAACTTTTGTTACAGTGGGCGGAGAACTCGAATAACAGTATCATAATTACTTCAAGGTAACAAATTACATTTGTTTTTTTTTGAAGTATATGGAATTTTTGTAGAACATCTCCGGGAACCTTCGCTACGGACTTACTTGAAAATACATCTCCAGGTCGGAAAATTGAAGTAGATGTAAGACGTCGTGTAGAACTAGAAGGCCCTGAATTGGAAGAGTATCTACGAACTCAGGGAGAAAAGGTAAATCGGTTAATTATAAAACAAGATGAACAACAAGAAAGTAGCTCGGATTCAGATGATGATATAGAAATGAGTGTTATAACTGGAAAACATGATATGGTTATTCGTCCTGAAAGCCGACAGCATACAGGATTTTTTAAATCAAATAAACGTCATTATGCAATGTTTCCATTCCACGAAGATAAAATAAAATGTGATGAATATGGTGAAATCATAAATCTGGATGATTACCGTATAGCTGACAGTGGTTATGAAATTATTAACGATGAACAGAACAAAGAAAATTTGAAAAAAGAGGAAGTAAAGGACAAATATAAAACAAACAACGGTAGAGTATAACAAATGTTAGTTTTTTTAAATAAATTTAAGTTATAATATATGTAAAAACAGATATAGAACTGCTAGAAAAACCTACAAAGTGTATTAGTCAACGTAAAGTTATTCAAATAAATGCTCAAATTCAGCGAATAGACTTTGAGGGTCGGTCTGATGGTGAGTCTATGCTAAAAATTCTTTCACAGTTACGACCTAGACGGGTAATAATAGTGCATGGTTCCAGTGATGCAACTCAAGCGGTCGCCAAACATTGTCAACAAAATATCGGTGCACGAGTATTTGCTCCTCAAAAGGGTGAAGTAAGATTTCAAATTTTTATTATATTCAATTAAAGTACTTTCATGTTTACAGATTGTTGATGTTACAACGGAGACTCACATTTACCAAGTACGCTTAACAGAAGGATTGGTTTCCCAACTGCAGTTTCAAAAAGGAAAAGATGCCGAAGTTGCTTGGGTTGACGGGCGTATAGGCTTGCGGTCACAAGTTATCGATAGTGGAAGCAACGAATTGGCAATTGACCAAAACACCATATGTGAAGAAAAGATGTTTACATTGGAAACATTATCTACTGATGAAATTCCTGTTCACAATTCTGTTTTAATAAATGAATTGAAATTATCTGATTTTAAACAGGTATTGTTGCGCAACAATATAAATTCAGAATTTTCCGGTGGTACTTTATGGTGTAATAATGGAACAGTAGCCCTTCGTCGTGTTGACACTGGAAAAGTTACAATAGAAGGCTGTTTATCAGATGAATATTATAAAATTAGAGAACTTCTGTATGATCAATATGCAATTGTTTAATTGTTTTGTTTAATAAAATCTTTTTATAAAATATTTATTTTAAATGAAATCTAACATTGGATCTTCAGCACGGGTACGCTTGCGTTGCCACTCTTCTATTTCTTCTTCTGTAGGAGGTTTTATTTCATATAAACTGTTATATGGACGCTTCCGGTCATCTATTTCGTTAGAACATTTTGATACATTTGTAAGAATTGGTTTAATCTTATTAGTTGTTTTTCCATGCGTTTTTTTTAGTTTAATATTATTTTTTCTAGTAAGTTCTTCGAAAGATGATGGTGACGAAGGCTCTGATATATAACTATCAGTTTGGCAATCTTTTTTTGTTCCAGCCTCGAAGGAATATGTAATATTGTCACATAATGAATCAGTTTCTTTCATACCAATGCAGTATGAACCCTAAAATATATATATTTATTTTGTTATTAAATCAAAGTTTGTTGAAATATTTACTTTGATAAAAGATTTGCAGCATTTATAACCCCACCGGCCAACACTCCAATAACTGCCCCAAATCTTAGTGTGGTTATTATTATAAATATCCTCTGTATAAACACTTTTTGCCTTCGGTTTCTCCATGCCTTTAATAATTTTTCCACTGCGGGAGTACTCAACATATTCTTCTGTTTGCGCTAAAAGAAGAGATTTTGGTGGTGCGTTCAGATGCTCCTCACCTCCATATTTTTCGACAATATGATCTTTTGTCTACAACCATAAAAAATCCATAAAAAATTTTATTTTCAGCTATAAAACAAAGAACTATTCTTACACTTAATTTAAAATGCTCCTTTTTCTTCTCATATTCTTTCTGTAATAGCTCTAGTTTTGTAGGCTCTGCAAGTAAGTGCACGTCAACGCCTTTTCCATGTGCTTCCCAGGCAAAAAGCTGTGCAGATGTATGTTTTGTAGTATCACCAGTAAAACGTACGAAATTTTCTCCAGCAAATTCAGATCTAGACAAGAGTAGTATAGTATTGATTTAAAATATATTTAGCATGCTCACTCTTCAGCTGGCTTGCTAGGATTTGGATTGTCTCTCATCGATCTTGTTTTAGGGTCGTAATATGCAGAATTGGGATCTAAATTTCGCAAATATTTGGCAGTATCTTCTCTTATGCGTAAGTTTCTAACAGTAATTCGTTGTTTAGAGTCTACTTTTGTTCCAGGCATATCTACTTCATCGACATATTTATCTTCATTGTCATCGTCATCAGACAGCTCTGCATCCGGATCTTAATTTTATATGTTAAAACACGAATTATTAAATATAAAAATTCCTTACAACTAATATTTGATTACTGTTTTTATATTACATACTCATTTTTAACTTTTCTGCTTTGAGTTGCCGTTTAGCTTCTTCGACCTTTTCATATTCCTCAATAATTTCGCGATGATTCGCTGGATCATAAGATATCCAACGATCACGTTTCTCATCATAATTGGCAGCATTATCATGAACCAAATATTCATCATGGACCAAAATTGAATCGGCATATTTTGCTTGTATTTTACGGGGTCGCTCAAGACAATCTTTTTTCTTATGTGTCACAGCACCACAGTTTTCACAAGCCCCTTTGCGATATTTTGTAACAAGTTTTGAAACATTTATACCTTTGGGATATTGCTTTTCTAATTCTCCTTGTAAATCTTGTTTTTGTGGACGCTGATGTTTTAAGGTGGGGCCTTGAGCTCCATAATACCAAGGAGCATTTGATATATATTGTGGAATATGTGGATTTATATCCCGTCCTTCTTCATCAACCGCTGCAGGTGCTGTACCAGCCTTTCGCGCTTCTTCCAACTCTTTAGCTTTTTTCCAATCTTCACGAGACTTTTTTTTGGGCTCATCTTTATCTGTAGCATCCTTACTGTGAATTATTTGTGAGACAGGTGTCCTAATAACATTAGAACTCATTTTTAAAAATTAATTTTATTGTTTAATTTGCTTTAAAACTGTTTTTAATAAATAATATTTTTATTTAATGCGCAATTTTACAACGATTTCAAAGCGCATATTTAATCTGTCAAAAAATTCCTTTATATTGAAATGCATGTAAATACTCGATACCTTTTTACGTATTTTTATAATCAATACTTAAGAATATTATATAGACGATCAAACATGCTCGCCAGTTTGATGCTCGCTTTGCTATATTGTTTATATTCTACAAATGATTTTCATATGGGAAACACAACAATTAATATCAATCAAAAGTGTAGAACAATAAAACCAAAAGAATTATATATTAAGATTATATATCTGGATATTCGAATCAATATAAGGCCTTTTCTTTAGTAAGCATGTTGAAAAAGAACAAATAAATAAGCATTACCGCTGATGGCAACTCTGGACAAAATGGAAATTTTGTTAGGCTTATAAATGCAAAATACGTAATAAAATTTAAAGTTAAAATTTTGAAAATGAATAATAATTTTTTGTAATTATTGGTAGGATTTTTTTTACATGATTGTGAAAAATATATGAATTTTCATGCCTTTTAACTGTAAAATAATAAATAGAAAAAATAATGTATTTGTTACGAACAATGACGATAAGAAATTCGAAGAATTAACGAAATCATTCGTTGACAGTTAACTGGAATTTCGTATGTACGTCCAAAAGTCATTCACAATAGACAAATTTTTAATCATGACAACCAAAGAATACCTTACAAGAACGGCAACTCCATTTTTTTTTTTTTTTTTTTTTTTTTTTTTTTTTTTTTTTCCATTAGAGGTGGAATCTTCTAAAGATGCTGTAAAAGCATGCCCGATTCATACTGTTCGCTACCACTCTTTCTCAAGTTTACGCAGGTACGATGCTCTTGCATATGCCAAACTTGCGACACAGTACGCCTACGGACTAAACCTTAACCCCTATACATAACACTGCCCTTTAGAAAACGTCCCGCGGGACCACCAGCTAGGTATTACTTCGCTAGGACAGGGCGAGCACTAACGCTCTATTTCTCAATTATCATTTACTCTCATTTGGTGTTGTCGTTCATCTCGTCGCAGTTGTTGCATGATTGCTGTAATTATATGATTAACTTGTTCCCAGGCATCTTTAGAGGACAACATGTATTGTACGACTCTATGACATGTAACATGGTTACCCATTAATCTTTCTAATGCTTCTCTAGCACGTGTAAAACGTATACAAGTTGTCAGTATGTGCTCAACGCTTTCTACCACTTTACCACAATGCAAACAAAAGGGGTCATCAGCATGTTTATATTTGAAGAAATATTCTCGGAAACAACCATGCCCTGTGAGAAACTGTGTAACATAGTAATTAGGTTCACCATATTTCCTTGAGGTCCAGGCAGCAATTGATGGAATAAGATTGTATGTCCATCTTCCTTTTGTTGATGTAATCCACCGTTGTTGCCACTGTACGTATATTTGACTTCGTACCTCATCTTTGTAATTTCGGCTAAGACACTCTTGTGATTTGAGATCTCTCAGAGCTGCAGCTTCTTTAGCCTGTAGGTCTATTGGTATTCGTCCAGCAATGACGTTTATAGCTACTTCGGAGACTGTACGAAACGCGCAGCATACCCTTAATGATGCTAATCTATGAGCTGACACCAAAGATCTTGTATATGATAAACGGAAGGCTGCGGGATACCATATTGGTGCGCCATACATCATTACTGAAGTCGACACTGATGCCAGTAGTCTTCGACCTGCATATCTTGGACCACCAATGTTTGGCATTAATCTTGCAACTGCTGCACCGATTCTAATTGCTTTGTCACCAGCAGACTTCAGATGTTCCTTGAAGTTAAGCCTTTGATCTATTTTGACACCCAGATAATTAATTACCGAGCTTGATTTGATAGAAAGCTCGCCAACATGTATATCAATAAATTCTATTCTTTTTCTACTACTTAGAAGAACTGCTTCGGTTTTGTGCTCTGATAATTCCAGGCCCATTGACTCAAGCCAGAGTTTGACCACTACGATGGTGCTATCACATTTCATTGCAAGTTCGTTGATGGTTTTTGCAACCGCTACAATTGCAATATCATCAGCGTAACCAATTAACTGCACTCCAGCTGGTTTTTCTACATTAAATACGCCATCATACATTACATTCCAGAGAATGGGGCCTAAAACTGAGCCTTGTGGAACTCCTGCTGACACTAGATATGTCTTCACACCGTCGTTTGTGTCATACATTAGAATGCGGTCGTTGAAATAGCTTATGATCATTCTAAGTAGATATGCCGGTATTTCCAGTTTTGCTAGTGCTTCTATTGTTGCGTTCCAGTCCGCTGAATTGAAAGCATTTTTGATATCCAGCGTGATTATAGCACAGTATTCTTTGCTGCCGCCTCTCCATCTTTTTCCATCCAGCGCATTTTGGGCTATATTATGCACTTTTGCTATAGCATTTATTGTACTCTGGCCTTTCCTGAAACCATGTTGCCATATTGACAGGCCATTTGGTCCTTCTGTGTACTGTTCCAATCTGGTAGCAATAAGTTTTTCAAAAAGCTTTCCAGTAGTATCCAGCATGCACAACGGTCGGTAAGATGACGGCTCATGTAAGTGCTTCCCTTTTTTAGGGATAAGGACTAGTCGTTGTACTTTCCACGGTTTTGGAAACACGCCTTCTACTAGACACAATGAGAATACTTCCGCAAACAGTTCTGGCCTTCTATATACGATTTGTTTAAGCGCGCCATTTGGGATACCATCAACGCCAGGTGCTTTCGTATCCTTAATGATTTTTGCGGCTTCAAGAACTTCGCTTGGAGTAATTAAATTAACTTGGACGTCGTCATCGGTCAGTATGTGTGTTATCCCAGAGCCTTGTGGGAACAAGTTGCGAACGATATCTTCTAAGAAACGAAAATTAGTAGGAGCTGATGATGAAGTTCCCTTCATTATCTTTTTGACAGTTTGGTATGCTTTTCCCCAGGGATTAGTTGACAGTTCATCTAGCAAGGTGTTGTACAGCCGCTTTTTGCTTTGTAAAATAGAATTACGGAGCTCTTTCCGCTTTTCCTTATAATGCCAGTTAAGTTGCTCAAAATTGTTATGCCCTCTTGCTCGTTGTTGAACTCTGCGTAATTTGTGACATTCTGTCCGCAGGTTTCCAATTTCTTCATTCCACCAAGGTGCAGGTCTATGATGCTTTCTTTCATTTCTTCGAGG